GAAGGTTTCCACCCCCATGTTGCTCCCTCTTAAATAGAGCCGCAGAGGGGTTCTCAGCTTCTGGGCTTCTTCCTGACCTCCGCAGGAACCAGAGCCTGGCTGGCCTCCAGTGGACACTGAGGCCATGATTTTGGGTCACTCCTTTGGAAGGTTGGATTGGGATGGAGAACTCTTTAGCAACTAGCAAATCTTGAATTTCATTATCCGGGATTTCTGGGGTTCTGCATTGTCAGGAAACCTGGGAGGAGCCACTTGGAAGTCAGGTGTCTGAAACAGGCTCACCTTGTCTTGTCCTACCTGCCCTGATGACCAGCTCCAGGCAAGGCAGCCAGGACTTCTCTGGGAAGCAAACCCTGAGATGCTGGCCAGTGAGGGACCAGCTCCAACCTTACTTCCCCATCCTGTCCCACAGGGGCTAAGTTCCAGGATTTGGCCTGAGTCAGGATCAATTTTCCAGATAACCTGGCAAAAGCCACATTAAATAACCAGTTGCATGGTTCTTTCTTTAGGATTCCTAAAGGACTCTTGGAAAGAGAGTCCTCTAGAGATCCTACTACTTGGAATTTTCTAGACATCTTTGAGGCATGTTGGCCAAGGGCCCTGATTCAGAAGAAAAAGGCAAGTGGAAAGGTGAGGGAAGCACAGTTCCCCTGGGTGGAGTTTTGAGCAGGGGATGGGATTTGTACACCCCAGGAGGTTCCATCCCACCCGAATGTCTTCTTCTTAGGAGACATCTCCTAATCAGCCAGGACAGTCAGGTAGAGATGTCTCTTGGATTCTTTTGCTGCTGGTAATGGAGGTTACCCGAGCTTTGCCTCCCAGGAGAGCCTGGGACTGGTACACCCAAATTCCCCTGCTCAACGTAGAAGCCAGTACATTCCAGAAATGCTCTGCTGGACTTTCCCTCCAGGCCTTCCTTTGCTCTTGGGACTTGCTGCCTTACAATCTCAAGGCAGGGAGTGATCTCAGCTCCCTTCTGCTCCCAAGGGACCTCACCCTGGCCAGAATGTTGCACCTTTTTGGCAGCTATTAGGATTCCAGCTGCAAACTTATGTGGGCCCCTTTGCTCCAGCATTAACCTGTAGCAGGGGTGAGTGCCATCCCTTGGTGCGAAGACTTCCTCCTCCTCTTGCCCAAGGCAGAGTTACTAGGGGCTGGATGGCAGGTTCTGTTCTAAAGGCCAACAGGTAAGACTAGGGTCTCCGTCAGCTACGCCTTTGGGGGGCATGGCCACTATCGTCTCCCTAGGTCAGGGAACAGCACTCTATAAAACGTCAGAGCAGACATGTAAACCAAAGCTCATCATAGTGGTAGCTCCTCTCCAGAGACACAATTCCAAAATAATAATATGCAGGAGACCCACTAATGCCAGGATCCAGCCCCAAGGGCTCTGAGGAGTCACTCAGCAGCAATCTCGGTGCAAACTTGAGGAGTGCAGTGTGTGAATGTGGATCCACCCAATAGCTCCCCTCCTCCCCAACCAGCGCCCGTTTCTAACTCTGCGCTAGGTTTCCTAGAGGTGTAGCAGGGAGGGGGTCAGGGCTGGGGTCAGCTGAAGGTCAGTTCGGAGAAGCGAGCAGTCAAGAGAGCCGTACTGGTACTCTCCTCAAGGCGTAGGCCGTGAAGACAATTTCTCGCAGCCAGGACCCTGACCCTTGCTGGGTCCCGAATTCCACCTGAACCAGCTCCTTGTACTCAGAGGTCCCGGAGCCCACGAACTTTGCAGCTTGCCTCGCATGCCTGAGCGGCTCTGCAAACTCCCATTCATCCTTCCAAAACAAATGAATACGTGATTAGAGGGTGCAACTACTCATTAGGGTGGAATCCCAGAAGGTTCTGGGTCCCAGGAAAATAACTTTCTTTACCTCCTTTCCCCACCCTCTGCCTCTGATCTTTCTACTAAACTCCATAACCCAGGGTCTGGGGTCTGCCATGGGCATTCGGGGCTGTGTTCCCACACTGGCACTGAGTACTCTCGGATGTCCAGGAGCTGCTCCACGCCCAGGGCCCGATGCCTCTGGGAAGAGATTTTGGGAGAAAAGGCGACTCTGCCAGGGCCAAAGTATGCAGGAGCCCAAGCTGTGGCGCCGAGATCCCAGTACGACCCCCCGCCCCCCATCTCCACTCGGCACAGGCTGTGTCCTAGGCGTGCAGGAATAGGATCGAAACGCGAGGAGACCCTGCTCTCTTCTGCTAGGGGCTGTTTGTTTTAGCGCTAAGGGTGCCCTGGTGGGCCTAGCAGCACAGAAGGGGTCGCACGGGACTGAAAAGCTGGGGACGCAGGTCCTGGGAGGCCAGGGCTAAATGAGCGCAGCTGCCAAAGTCGGCTGCCGGGGTCAGCAAAACTTTGTTTCTGAGTGCGCAGGCGCAGCGCAAAAAAACGGTTGGGGGGCAGGGGGAGGAGGAGTGGAATCCCGAGGCAACGGGAGGAGGGACGGAGGAGGAGGGACGGAGGAGGAGGGAGGGTGGTGGATTAAAATAAGTAGGCGGCTCGGTGCAAAGGGATGAGTGAGTCGAAGCTCGGTCTCTCTCCAGCACGTTCTCAGCCGCTCCGGGTTCAGACCGAACCAGGGAGCCGCGAGCAAGGTTCGCCATCCCGGGCCGGCAGGACTCCGGAGCTGCTGAGCGCTTCCCGCCTGTCGAGCGCTGCCAGTCCCCGCAGCCGGAGAGGGGCCAGGACTCTAGAGCTCCGGGGGTGCCTGTGGAATCCAGCGCCTCTGGTTTCCCGGGTCCCCCGCAGAGGGAGCCTCAGAGACGCGCTCAGCCCCGGGACCGCCGCGGAACAAGGTAACTGCAGCCCTGGGCGCCCCGGCACGACGAGGGGAATGCGGACAAGACTCCTGGGCTCTCTGTCACAGCGTGGCGAGTGTCCCTTCTCTCTCAGTGTCCCTGAAGGAAGCTTGTCTTGCCAAACGAAAAGCTGCAGGACCTTTGTGAAAGTTAGAACCTCTGCAGCCCAGGGTGGTTGGAGGGTCTGGCTCAGGGACTTCCCGCGAGGTGTCCTCGGCCTCTGACCTCCGGGGAATCAGAGGGCGGGCTTCCACTACTGCCCCCACCCCCACCCCCAGGGGCCAGGCTCCGCGGAATCCGGGGCGAGGTGCCACAAACTTAGGAAGTCAGCCTGTGGGCCCCCTCTTAGAAACCGAAGCAACTTCAGCGGGCACAAACTTTCCCGAGATGCGCGCCTAGCTCAGCCTGACCTACCTTAGCTGATGAAGAAGGAAGAGAGAGTGGATGGATGGCCACGGCTGCAGCCAACCGCGCCAGGGACAGGTGCATGCCCCTCCCGGGTCTTGCTTTCATGCGAATTTGTCTTTTGCAGAGTTGCGTTCAGGTACGAGGCGGGTTGGACCCGGGAGCGCAGGGCCGGGAGACTGACCCCGCCTCGCACTTGTGCTCTGACTTGGGGTGTTCTCTATGGGATGATTGCTCTGTGTGATGAAGGCCTGGAGGGTAACCCGCCACTGTCCGGGTGCATGCAGGGGTGCGAGCACTACTTTCCAACTGGAGACCCGCACGTCGCATTAGCAGAAACACTATGGAGCCGCGGGTGTCTCCAGATTGGGGCTTGGAAGGGAAGGATTCGTTTGCTCCCCTGACTGTCCCCTAACCCAGCCTTCATGAGAGGTGGGAGCCAGAGGAGAGAGGGACATAGGTGAGGGGTTGCCTGCTGAGCTAATTTCTCCCCAGAAATGTCTCTGATAAGAGGAATGAAAACCCACATCCAGTACTTTTTTTAGCAGCTCGGGGCAGTAGCGGGGTAAGGTCTCAGAGTGTAAAGTAGCTACGAGGGTTTCTTTGTTGCCATAATTTGGTCAATTTCACGGGGGCTAAGAGCTGCGCGCTGGCCCTTGGGAACAGAAACCACGTGCAGGCTAGATAGTTCCCCAGGTTCACAGCCTCCTAGAGAAGAGGAGAGTCAGCAGGGAAGGGGGGTTAGGGTGGGGGGAGATCAGTGGGTAGTTGTTCCATCTGAGGCTCCTCGAGGTAATTGCGGTTTCATTAAGATTGGGGAGCAGATCGCTAAGGATGCAACGGGCGCTTACGTGCAGCGGGATGGCCGCTGCCTCGCTGAAGGGTTCGTTCGATCTCGTTCGTTGGGAAAATTCAACAGAAGTCGCCTATGCTGGTCAATTCTCCGCCTGGAGTTCGGACGCCTGTCACTTGTATTGGGGGTTCGATGTCAAGGATGTTTTTTTCTGGGGCTACTGCTGGGTTCCTCCAGGCGCAAGCTCGTGGAGCTCGCTCCGTCCTCATTAATGCAAGCAGTTAACTCGCTCACGCTCAATTAGCCCCGAATAAACCACTTTAATAGACTCGGCACACTTCATTAATGCCCGGCATTGGTCTGGCTGCAGACCCGGGATTGGCGCTCCACCGCGCGAGGGACTCGGGCTTCCAAGCGCGAATTGCATTTGCTTCGCGTAGTCGAGACCCTTTACCGCACCTCCCAGGTCCGGAGGCCCAAGCTCCTCGCAGAATGGATGCCTGGCCTGCGGAGAGGGTTCCCTCTCGTATGTAAAAATCTAAAGCGTTCACACTGGGGTTCCGGGGTCAGGGCTACCCGAGCTCATCCTCTCCGGCTGGTGAGCGAGTGAGTGTGAGGCTGTGTTTTTCTCTTAGTTGACCGCCTGAACCCGGATCGTGCATTCGGCCCATTCTTGATACTAGTGTAAAAAGCCACGTTTCGAACGAATTTCGTCCCCGGGAAAGTCGTTGGAGAGAGCCTGAAGAGCCCTGGCCTCGGAATGCGGCAGAAAATAAGAAACTGGCTGCGCCGTTTAGGAAAATAAATTGAGTGTTGGGGAAAACAAGATCCGGCAGATAGCTGGGAAAGTTTGGCTCCCAAGAGCAGTGGTGGCTGCAAGCGCCCCCTCTTCCCACCAAGCCCCAGGTCTTCGCTCCTGAAAGTAGGCGAGAAAAGGCCAGGTTAGTACGCCAGGTGGATGGGCTCTCCCACACGGGCACGGAGAGGGCTCGGGCCCGCGTGCAGTCAGAGTCCTGCCACCACCGCCGCTCGCTTGCCCGGGGGTTAGGCCGGGCACTATGAGAAGGGAGCGGAGGCCCGGGCGGCGCCCGGCGGGCCCCGGGGAGCCAGAGATTAGGATCTGATTTCCAGCGCCTGGAGAGGGAGAAGAGGTGACAACAAATCAAAGAGCGCTCACCTCGCCTAAGTCCGGGCGGACCTTTGAAGTTGGCGAGCCTTCTTCCTCCTTCCCACCTCCCCAATCTCAACCGGCCCCTGCTTTGTTTCTGGCCCAATTCCTATTTTGCTTTGCAGTGTCTCAGCGCTATAGGAGGAACTCGGTTTGTCCTCGGTGCGACCAGTGCTCCCAGCAGTAGAGCAGATGGGTGCGGAGGCCTTGGCTCTACCCGTGCGGCCAGCGCCCACGCTCCAGAGGCGCGATCACCGCAGATCTGTGCCTCTCTTAGCCCCACAGCTGAATTAATTGCTGTGGGCAGACTAGGTGTTCATTCGATTGCTAATTTAACCGGCGCAACCAAATCTTTGCCGGCTCTCGGTGTTTTGCATCCCTGCCCACCCCCAGCAGAATGGCCCAACACACAGCGAGTGACCTCCAAGGGAAAGGGCTCCTGGGTCAAGATTGTCCTCACTCCTCCCGACGAGTACGGAGCTTTCCTCTCACTAAAGGCTTCGCTGCAGGGAAAGGCAGCTGAGTCTAGGCCTGAGCATTGCTGGCCTGGGCTGAGGGTGAGCTAGGCTGGGGAAGCTGCCTGGGTAGGTGTCAGTGTATGCTGTGAATGAGAGCAGAGCAGTGTGCTGACATCCCAGGGAAGAGGGCTTACTGCAGGTTAGAGGAGAGACCCGAGGAAGGGAAGAGGAGGAAGAAGGAGTAAAGGAAGAAGTAGGCAGCAGAGGACTGACAGGGGCAAAGGAGCAGGGTGTCCCAAGCACCCTGCTCCCACAATGACTTTTTGAGTGGCCCTCAGCTCGGAGCCCAGAGGAGAGGGAGTTCAGCACTTAAGTATCCCAAGGCTCCTGTGCGCTTTCGGCTTTCACTCTCCCTGTTTTTGCCTCCACTAGACAGACCTAAGTGTCTGGTGCACAGAGATAAGGGCTTCTCTGCAGAGCACAGACCTGTCTGTCCATGGAGGCTGGAGACTCTGACCAAGAAGGCCAGGAGATGCCAGCCTGTTGATCACGTCACCATGCCTTCGCTCTGGCCTTGCTCAAGCTCACTGGCCTTGCAGGTGGAGGATGCCTAGACCATAGCAGCTGAGGCTGGCCTCAGTGCTCTTTCTTACCTATAGGCATACCCACCTGCTCAGGGCTCACCATACACACACATCCTGAGAGCCCAAAGACCCTGCCCCCTTTTGTATGTGGCATGGAGGGTACTGAAGCCACCTTTTATGCAGCTGCAGATGTTTCACCGAGTTAAGGCACATGGGTGTCAGTGTCCTTGCTGAAACAAAGGTGATCACCAAGCACTATGTTAGCAAGTCAGTTCACAAGCAGCTGCAGAGAGGGCAGTGTCAGTTGGGCTCATTAATAGTGAGGCAGAAAAGCAAATCTGTGGTCAAAGTTGAGGAGAAAGATAACAGGCTTCTAGAGGTCAGATTGAAGGCCAGCTAGTAGACCTTCATGCACAGGAGCTAGGAGATGTATGGGTTTGTGTGAGTCTGTGTACTGTCTGTCTGTGAGGCTCTTGGTGGGTACTATGTGACCCTGTGTGTATCTGTGTGAGTGCTGCTTCCTTTGTTTTGCAGTAGAGCACTGGACTTCCCACTTTATCTTCGCACCCTGTTGTCAACTCGGTCCGCTTCAGAATGTGTGCATCTGTCAGTGTTCATTTCTGTGCTTGTTTATCTGCACATGAAGATGTAAGTGTGCTACTGAGTTCCTGTTATCTTTGCAGGAGAGTGTAATTCGGTATTGACTCAGGCTTGCACGGATGAAAGTTTCCCTGTGCTTCTGCCTTTCTGTCATGTACACCACAGTCCTTCATTTAGGTTGGTTGCACTGCGTTGGATTTAATTACTTGCTGGTTTCTGTATCTGTCAGAGGCCATTTGAACGGAGCCTTCCTGTCAGAGAGGGTTCCTGTCTTTTTTTTTTTTTTTGAGGTCATTGTGTTCCAGGGGTGGTGTCTTAGACTCCCAACTCCTGCCCTGGGGGACAGAAAGGGTGTGGCTGGAATGGAATTCAGAAGTGTGATGTACCCTGAACTTCTCTTTTTCTCTCCCCATTCCCTTCTTTTCTTCGCAGATCCAGATTGAGAACCCACCACAGCTACCACAATGGGCAGCAAAACCTTGCCAGCGCCAGTGCCCATCCATCCATCCCTGCAGCTCACCAACTACTCCTTCCTTCAGGCAGTGAACGGCCTACCCACAGTGCCCTCGGACCACCTGCCCAACCTGTACGGTTTCAGCGCGCTGCACGCTGTGCACCTGCACCAGTGGACGCTGGGCTACCCGGCCATGCACTTGCCACGATCCTCTTTCTCCAAAGTGCCGGGAGCCATGTCCAACCTGGTGGACGCGCGCTTCCAGCTGCCTGCCTTTCCTTGGTTCCCCCATGTCATTCAGCCCAAGCCCGAGATCACCGCTGGAGGCAGCGGCCCCGCAGCGCTCAAGACCAAGCCACGCTTTGATTTTGCCAACCTGGCCTTGGCTGCCACGCAAGAAGACCCGTCCAAGCTTGGTCGAGGGGAGGGCCCGGGTTCCCCCGCTGGTGGGCTGGGCGCCCTCCTGGATGTGACCAAGCTCTCCCCAGAAAAGAAACCCACAAGAGGACGCCTACCTTCCAAGACCAAGAAGGAGTTCGTCTGCAAGTTCTGTGGCCGCCACTTCACTAAGTCCTACAACCTTCTTATCCACGAGCGGACGCACACCGACGAGCGGCCCTACACCTGTGACATCTGCCACAAAGCCTTCCGGAGGCAAGACCACCTACGGGACCACAGGTGCGGCACTGCGGGTGGCCCTAGAAAGAGCTGCCAGTCCGCTTCTGTCCTCACCTAGTGAGGAAGTCCATGAGACCCCCTACCGGCTCCAAGCCTCCCTAGCTTCTGGAAATTCCCTAAAATGACGAAGGGGATCTGGGCTATAAGGCTCTGGGATCAGATCTTGGAGCACTGGTAGAGAGAACAAGGGATGAATAGGACCTAAGACTAAGTCAGGTCTCCTGAGCTCCAGACAAGCACGCAAAGCTTCCGCACCCCTTCCTCCACCCGCGCGGCACTGTCCAATAGAAGTTTCTGCGATGATGGAGAGTGACACGTGATACATTCAGCACTTGAAATGTGAAAGGAGTGTGATGGACAAACTAACTTTTTAGTTTTATTTAATTTTAATAACCACAGGTGACTAGTGGTACCATCTTGGACAGTGCAGCTACAGCAAATTGCCCTTCCCCACTTCCCTTAAATCACCTTGAGTCAGTGTTGACCCAGGCCTTATAGAGAGGCTGTGCTGGTTCCTCTTCAAGAAGGCAGGTGGTTGGATCAGAGATTTATAGTTCAGAGATTACCCAAGCCACTCCTTCACCTCTCTAGCCATCCACAAATTCAGCATTTTGCCTGCTCCATACTGAGCACCCCACAAAACCCTTTCTTTTGAGAGCAAGTGTCTCATAGCAGTGGGAGGGGACCTTGGGCAACTGTTATAACATTGCATCATTTTGCAAGGAGTAATTCTCTGTTTTTGCCCTCAGATATATTCACTCCAAAGAAAAGCCTTTCAAGTGTCAAGAGTGCGGAAAAGGATTCTGCCAGTCCAGGACTCTCGCTGTCCACAAGACACTACACTCACAGGTGAAGGAGCTCAAAACCTCCAAGATCAAATGCTAAATAGAGCCCCCAGGCCACCGGGACCCTGGGTCGCGCCGTTCCCTCCTCCGGGGGGATCAGAAGCCGGAAGGCGACTCTAGCGGGCAGCGGGAGGGGCTCCCAGACTTTTCCCCATCCCAAACAATGTCCCCTGGGTCCCGGACGCACGCGGAACTCCAGAGCCCCACCCGGGGCCGTGACCCTGGCCGCCCGGGCGGTTCCCCCAGGACGCGGCTAAACTCTTGGCCAAAAGGCGGTACTCACGTGGCGGAAGGGAAACTGCATTAAAAAAAAAAAAAAAAAAAAGAACCAAAGCTCCGCGGAGTCGCAGCGGCGCCTCTCCCAGAAGTATTACTTTTTCTATTGTTATTTTATACGTCTTCTTTATTATTTTTTTCTTTGACCATATAAGCTTGTAACTCTGACTGCGGAGAGAGAGGGGAGAGGAAAAGAAGTTCTGAGCTCTCACAGCTTCCAGCCCCTCCTCCCGCCCCATCTCCACCCCCGGGAGCCTGCAAAAGTGTAATCCCTTGTATCTGCTTCAGCCACCGGCCCCGGGACCAAGCGCGGGGCTCGGCAGCTCCGGCTCCCAGCTCCCGCTGCGCAGCCGGCTGTGGGTTCTGCGGCTCAGCCGGCAGGGCGGGGGCCGCGGGCCCTGGGGCTGGAGGGGGCCCGGCCTCCGGCCCCACTGCTCCGTCGCCTGTCACCGTGAACGAGCAGCCGGCTAGGAGCAGGGCATTGTATTGCGATTGGCACTTTATGCTGACCATCGGTAACGGACATTTATCACTGGAGTTTTTAAAAATATGAAATAAACGGTTATTTTACAGGCATTGCAAGCTGGGTAATTTCCCCTCCCAAACGCAGGAAACCGGGCGGCTCTTTTCTTTAAGAGGAGCAGGTTTTCTCTGCGGACTCCAGCCTGTCCCACTCCGGAACCTCCGCCTTGTTGGGTTGATAGGGTTGGGATGGGTGGAGAAAACCCCTTTCCCCCGGTGTTGGTCTGCCTCGGACTCCATTCCATATTTGTTTTCCGACTTTTCTCCTCCACTTCGGTCTTAGGGTCTCAGTCTCCCCACTCCTCGGCTCCAATGGGCTTCGCGTTTACAAAGAAGCGGAGCCTTCGGCCAGTACATCAGTCATGAGAAATCCCAACATCTCCGGGTGCCCGAGTCGCTTAGGGTCTTTTAGGAGAACAGAATATCACCTACCTCCCAAACTACAGGCCCCACTACCGGCCTCTTGCTAACGCTTTGGGGTGGGAAAGACGTACCCTCACAGACAGCCTCAGACTAGTACTGTCGCGTGTCCCTCGGGCCCCAATACCCGGCTGCAAATACATGATCACCGCTGCCTCCCCAAAGCTCCAAACCTATATCCCATCCTCCCTTAGGATTCCCCAGACAGAATTCTCAGGCTGGGGACTTGTCCACTGCCCGGAGCACGGCTCCACGCCCGCGAAGATTCCCTACAGTTTTCAAGTCTTGTCAGGAATGGCGGGGGCGGGCGCCCTGGGAGGCCCGGGAAGTTTAGGAGAAATCTGAGTCCGCCTTCCACAAGTTGAACCTTCCCCGGGGCGTCTAGTTTTCCCACAATTAGAGGCCAGGCCGTCGGGGGCTTCCCTGCTGGAACGGGGCGGGGCTCCCCCAGCTCCAGCTCCCTGACCGCGGGGCTGCGTAGGCGGGGAAGCCCGCGGCCTTTCCCAGAGTGAGCGCGTCCTCGCCGGCTTCGGTGCCCTGCGCTCAGCGGCCACCGACACCGCGCGGCCGAGCTTTCCAGCAACAGGGACCCCAATTCCAGCCTCAGGTAGGGTCCGGCGGCCTGAAAAAGGGGGCCGCGGCTGACGGCGTTAAAACGCTCTAGCTTTCCACTGCGCCACCCCTGCCTCTGGGATCGCCTCCTGGCCCTGTGCGGGCTAGAACCCCGCGGTCCCGGAACCCAACTTGTCCCTGTGGCCTCGGCGGGGCCAGCGCGGATGAGCACTGCCCTCCGTGTTCGGCGCCGCGCTGCCCCCTGCTGGACAGGCCTGGAGGACTGGCCAGGGACAGAGGGTACCTCACAGTGTCCTGCCTATAATCCCGAGTATCTCCGCTGAAGCCCCCGTCGGCCACTCATTTAGATAAAAACCTTCTTGACTGTCCCAAGGCCCACCGCGAATGAGGGGCAAGGCGCTGCCAGGTCTGCATCGGCCTGTAGGACCTGGGCTAGTCAGGCAAGATCCCAATCCCTCTTCTTTCCCGGTCCATAAGGACGCGCGCCCCAGGAGAGAATGGAGCCCAGGTCCCAGAGAACTGTGACCTCTGAGTGCATGCAGGGAGGGTTAGTCAATGGGTTTGGGTTTCGATGGCTTGGGCCCAGCCTGCTCAGGCAGTGGTACTGTCTGCCCTTGGCCATGGCTTGTGATAAGGCTGATGGCAGGAGCCACCTCAGTTCCTTTACTAGCCCTGTGAGGTTTCGGGACGTGGTTGTTCCAAGGTGAGGAGAGTGGGTGCGTACACACACACACACACACACACACACACACACACACACACACACGCACGCACACACGCAGCCCCTTTGCTCTTTCTGCGGTTCCATCTTTCCCAGGGATTGGCGACTGCTGTTGCCCTCTCCTCGCTAACATTCCTCCACCTCCCACTCCCTCTGGACGTGCAGCACGGTTAGCCAGGCCTCAAAGACGGTAAGGCTGAAACGGGGGAAGTTTTTCCTTCCTGGCCCACCCCACCTCTGGTACCACGAATCCCCACCCCTCCACCCGTAGGCCCCCAACCGAGGGACTTTCGATATCAAAGGTGCACCCTTGGAAGAATGGCTTTCCTGCGCAGTTGTTTAGGAGGCAGTAGGGAGTGGGGCAGGACGCTGCTCAGAGGCCTCCGGCCCACTCGCAATGCCTCTGCTTTGGCCTGCTCTGCTGACTGTTGCTCTCGTCCTGGTGTATCCAGAAACCACTTCTCAGCACAGCTCTCTGCGGTCTACACGCCTTACAGTGATTTCATACGCTGTGCAGAAGCAGCAAGGGCAAGTGGAAGCGGCAGGCGGGGCCGCGGGCCACCAGACCCCACGCAGGCTCCAATTCCCGGGCCACGTGGTTGGGTGCCTTTGCCTGCTCGTACGGTCGCACGAAAAGGGCAGTCGGAGGGTGTTCTTGCCTGCGCGCTCTGTAGGGACCGCCTTTCCCCCACTACACCTCTAGAAAGTCATCCCCCGCGCCTGTCTTTAGGAGGGTTTTCGGGAGCTAAGGAGGCTGATGGCGCTGGCCCGCGGGAGTTCAGCGGGAGCCCTTCCCAGAGGTGCTAGGCCTGCGGTTCGTGTGGGGGTAGGGAAGCTACTGGCTGGACTTCTCTGCCGGACGGGTAGAAGGCGCGGGAGACCCTCGGTGCAGCCTGGAGCTTCCTGGTGCTCGCTCCGGGAAGGGGATCAGGAGCGCCCTGGGGAAGGAACCGCCCGCAGGGGCTTCGCCTGCGGAGGAAGAGGTTCAGGTTCCACCTCCTCCTTCCGGAAGGTAGCTAGGGGCTCGGGGGGCACGAAGCGACGTTTCCGCGCACCTCCGTGACGTGGGATTTAGCCCTGGAATAGGGCCTTGGGGAGGAGGAGGGAGAAACGCAGAGGGATGGGCTAGGGCTCCTTGACCACAGACACCTCGGCTCCAAGAACTGGGGAGCTGTGATGTACCTCAAACCCCTCCTCCCTGGACGGATTCTCGGTTTCGGGAGCCGGCTCGAAGGCGTCCCATCCCACTTCCCAGAGCACTAGGGCGTTGTGACGTCACAATATCCTCCCGCGGGCACAGTGGCGTTACACAGGCCCCTGGCAAAACAATCAGAGACTGGCTGCGTTTACAGCAGTTTCTCATTTATGCAGTTCTGTTACGTCACAGAAGGGCCCCATCTGGAGAAGTGACACCACGGCTCCCACATTTCCCGGCCCCGCCCCGCGAATCCTGCCCATAGAGGCGCCAAGACTCTCTGTCCTGTTTCTGCCCACAGGATCCTCAAACCCGAAGCGCTGGCAGTAGCCCTGAGTGAGGGAGGGTGCCCGGCAGGGTCGCCCTCGGGAATCCAGTGGCTGAGCACGATCTCCCAGCTCTCAGGCTTTTAGGGCACCGGCTGCCTGGGAATACTCTCCCCGCCCACCTGGCCCGGCCCCGCCCACAGCCTACCCGCCCACTGCGCATGCTCTGCGCGCAGGCGCAGGAGGCGCGCGAGGCCGAGGAGCGGGCGCTGAAGCGCGGGGTCCTGCGGCGGCCTCTCGGACCCTGTCCATTTTGGGGTCCGGCTTTCAGGGATCACAAACTCAGGGTGACACTGGCTCGGCGGGCGCACGCAGCCATCGGCGTATGTGAGCTCTAAAGATGAGGACGAGGAAGAGGGCAGCTCTGGGTTAATGAGGGTTGCAGACCCTGTAGCATCTGAAATCCAGCGCAGCCATGGTCAGACAGGGGGTCCCTGCAATCGAGCCGGCAGGGACGTGCCGTCGGCCCTGCCTTAAATCGGAAAGTCCAGCGCGGCCGCAGCCGTGTCAGGCCGGGTCTCGGAGGCAGCGGTCTCCGCCCCCAGCCGGGCGGAGCTCTGAGAGGCGCGGGCTCGGTCGCCCAGGCTGCCCGCTCGGCCTGGTGTTCTGGGCCGTGGCTGGATGTTGGGCCCAGTTCGCGCGCGTTTCGGATGAAACATTCACTGCGGACGTGAGGTATTAGGTAGGGGTCAAACCTCATGTCAGCAGGAGAGGAAGAATTAGAAGCTGTGTTTCCTTTGAGGCGAGGGGCCCGAAGACCCAGTTTTAGCTTTTCCTGCCACTTAACAAGCTCTGGGCAAGTCCCTGCACTTTTCTGAGCCTCCGTTTTCTTCCAGTGATGGGAATAATACTCTTCCCACCGACCTCATGCAGTTGAGGTAAAGAGGTCAAAGTCATACATACATATTTTCTCAATCATATTCACTACTTGAACCAAAAACGGGGCCCTAACGTGTTGCAGAACATCCTTGGCGTTTATGAAGCGACATGTACAACGTATTGTTAGAAACGCTCGCTCGGCATCCTGAAATTGCCTGCCTCCCAAACTGCCTTATTCCTAGGAGAGCCTTCCCGTCATCTTCACGTTGACATAACCCAGGGATCTTGAAATGGGATGGGAGAAGGGTGTCACCTGGACGGGTGGTCTTCTTGAAATGTCCAGGAAAACTTGAAAGAAGCCCTTTTTAAAACTCCATTTGGACCAATGGATCAGTTAGTTCGTAAATTATCGTTATGTTTGGTTGAGAGAGGAAGGCAGGTGACAAAATGTAAGTGCTCTGCTCACCACTCCGTTGTGGCATCTGCCTAGCGAGTAAAAAAACAACCTGGTGCAGGTGTATGGCAGGACAGGGGCCTCAGGGAGCCCCCCACACTGAAGAGGTGGTAGGGGGGTTTCATTCTGGAAACACCAGCCTGAAGAGTGAAAAGGACCCCCACTAGAATCTCCTTTCAATGGTGCTTTCTTTGACTCTTGCTAGGGTGTCCTCATCTAAAGAAAAGCTGCTCACACAGTGCTGTTTACATGGATACATTGCAGGAATGTTCCTCTCACCCAGCTACCCCAGCCCAGCTTAGGCTATCTGCTGACATTCTTGGCCATTTTTCCCGGCCAATGTCAGTTCCAGTTCCAGCGATGATAATATAGAAGGACTAACCCAGTAAAGTAGGATGGATGGATGAATGCGTTGAGAGTTTTGTTTCTCTTTTCCAAACACTGAGCTGGCTCTTAGCAGCTCAGCCATCTCTGGGGGAGGTGTAAAACAATTTATTTTCAGTGTCTGGTTTGATTGAACTCTTTTGCTAGTGAGATAAGGAGTTTTGTCGCGACAGTGGCAAGGATGGATTGCTTTGTGTCATTTGCAGGAGTTGGGTACAACGTGAAGCCTGTAGGTGGATGGTGTCATGGGATGAGAAACTTAACCCAGGACATGGAAGAAAAGCTAGAGGAGATGGGGAAGGAATGGCTAGATCCTTGAGCTCTCAAAGGACGGGAGAGGGAATGTGAGCTTCCAGAGCATTTGGGCCTTGCCTGAAATCATTAGATGTACTTGGGAGGTTGGTTTATGTCTTATTAACTTGGGTCAAGAGTTGAGCATCTTTGTGCAGGCAGAGTTGAGAAGATCGTCAGTGTCTCGCAGCACACATAGCACCTCCTGTAGGTCTGCAGAAGGCCAAGAACCAGAGCAGGTGTGGTGCTGAAGCTATCAGGAATGTCGGGATGGCTGTCCGTGGAGCGATGCCAGCACTGAAATAATGAGCAGAGGCCCTCTCCGGGAGGTTGGGGCAGCTAGAAAAATCGTTAACTGTTACAGGGATCTATGTACCATAAGCTCCGTCTTTCCCCGTTGTTCTTTCCTTCTTCATGCTCCGAGTTTCCTCCTTTTATTGGTTCCTTTCTTTTTGGAGAACTTTTGCTAGTCATTATTTTAGGATAGGTCTGGTGGTGAAAAATTCTCTTAATTTTCCTTCATCTGAGAATGTCTTTGTTTCTCCTTCGTTTCTGAAAGATAATTTCACCAGATACAGAATTTTAGGTTGATAGCTCTTTCTTTTCAGCACTTGAAAAATGTTGTGCTATTTCCTCTGACTTCCATGGTTTCTTACAAGATTTCTGCTGTCATTTGAATTGTTTTTTCCCCTATATGTTAGTTGTGATTTCTCTTGCTTCTTTCAAGATATTTTCTTTGTCTTTAATTCTTTAATTTTCAGAAGTTTGATTGTGATGATTCTTGGTATTGATTCATTTGGGTTTATCCTTTTTGGGATTTTTCTCAGATTTTTAAATCTGTAGGTTAAGCCTTCCGTAATTGAAAATTTTTCAGCCATTATTTGTTTTCCGTATTTTAAAAAAGTTCAGCTCTAATTTCTCCAAATATGTTTTTTCCATCCTCTCCTCTATTTTTTCAACTCCAATGACATAAATATTACAACTTTCATTGTAGTCCCACAGGTTTTTGATGTTCTGTTCAATTTTCTTTTTTCAGTTTGTTTTTTCTCTGTTGTTCAGTTCAGGTAATTTCTATTGTTCTATCTTCCAATTCACTGATTCTTTCCTATGTCCCCTGTATTCTGCTGTTGAGATATTTAAAAAATTTCAGTGATTGTATTTTTTAAATTCTAAAATTTCCAATGGCATTTCTTAATATATTCCATTTTCCTTGCTGAGGTTTTCTACTTTTGGTCGTTTCAAGGCTTCCTAATTGATTATTGAAGTATTTTTATGATGGCTGCTTTAAAATTCTTGTTGATACTTCCAACATCTGTGTCATCTTGATGTTGATGTCTGTTCATTGTCTTTTCTCTTTCAAGTCAAGATTTTCCCAGTTCTTGGTCTGACACATGATTTCCAGTTGCACCTTTGAAATTTTCGGTATTAGGAGACTGGATCTTATTTAGATCTGTTTAAGGAAGTCTCCTCTGACTTGCTGTTGTGGTTGAGGAAGAAGGAGGTGCTGCTTGCTACTGCCATGTGGGGGTGAAGGTCCAGGCTCCCCACTTGGCCTCCGCTAATGCCCCGGGAGGAGAGGAGAGCTGCAGTACTACCAGGTGGAGGTGAGAATTCAGGCTTCCCACGAGGCCCCCACTGACACCTCACAGGCCTGGGACAGGGAGAGGTCCCTTTTTGTTGCTCCCGCATGCTTCCACTGGTGGGTAGGTGAAAGGCCTTGTTACCCCAGGGTGATGGTACAAGTTTGGCTCCCCACTCAGTCTTCTTAGATACACCTGGGCAGGGCAGGGAGGAGCACCTTTTTAAAGCCAGACAAAGACAGATGCCCAGGCTCCCCATTCAGTCATTCCTGACTGGTAATCCATAGTGTATTGAATCTCTGTCTTGTTGTGTAAGTGAATCAGTATTGGTCTTACAGAAATATGCACTATGTGACAGGCTTCTTCACAAATCCCCGCTTCCTGGGATCACTTCTCCTTTTATTGTTCTAAGGTGATCCTGAGTTGCCACACTAATCCACTGTGGTGTTTTGAAATTTCATACTGCAAAATTATCACTTTATGTTTTGACATAAAATGTTCTGCAGTGACCTTTTATTGTAAAGTTATAAAACTTTTATCGACTCTCAAAAGTTGGTATGTAGGGTCCCTGTGGATGAAAAAGAGCAATTGATATTTTTAGGCTAGCTGTAACCTTTTGAGTTTTGACCCAGTAACATTGAATCTTTTATTATTTTGTTTATGAAAAGCAAACAATCTAATGTATCTGGTGGTTGGGTGCATGGTTTTCTTTTTCACCCTGCTCCCTTGTCTGGTTTTCAGATTATAATATTTAATATAAATTTGTTCATAGAATTTTAAGCCTCATTAAATTTTTGGCAATGGAATTTCAGGAATCTAGCCAAAATTTCATAAAATATTAGGTTAGTTTCCTTCACTGTCAAAGTATTTCCTAAAGGGATAGGACTTTTTTTTTTTTTTTTTTTCTAAAATTGCACCTTATAGGTTTCTTAATGCTGCCTCGGTCAGGAAGAGAAATAACTATTAAAGCGAAAACTTCTCTTCAGTTAATATTATTTATTTATTTATTTATTTATTTATTTATTTATTTATTTATTTATTTTTATTTTTTTTAGCTGAGCCACCCTGCTACCTGTTGGCAGCTCAGCGGCTGCTCAGCTCGGGCTGGACTCGAACCGCTGTTGCTCAGAGCTCAAACTCTTGAGGGAGCTCTTAACCAACTGAGCCACTCGGCCGGCCCGCTTAATATTATTTATTGATTACGATCTAGACTTGTGCTGGAGTATAGGCTAAGTATGGACATCATATAAATTGAGAGGAACGGTTCTTGCTTTTTCCAGATATATATTATTACAACGTAACATTTACTTCAGACTTAAGTAAATAACCTGATAAAAGGAACTAGAAAGCAGAAGACGTTTGTCTCAGCACAGGTTTTATTGCTAAACTTTGCTGGGTCACCTTAGTCAAGACCCATATAGAATCTCAGGACCCCAATTTCTTTACCTGCCAATTAGACTAAAAATACTTAACCTCTTCTAACTTCTACAAGCTTTTTAAATTAAAATTTTAAATGTGTGCCATAAATAGCAATAAATTTGCTGACTGTCCACCGCTTTTTATTTAGTCTTTAAAAAGTGTCTGCAAAGACTCCCAGCTTTTCAGCTGCTTTTGGTCTCAGAAATGTCTTAGAATAAAGAGAATAAGGAACTGCTTGAGATAGCTGTAAAAAAAGTTTTCAGACTTCATGTACAGGGTTGGCTACCTCCATTATTGCTCAGAGCAAGAGCCAAATTTCTGTTTCTCCCTGGAATGCTCTGATTCCTGAGTCGCCAGGCGGCTAGCTATGTCATCTGTGTGGATGAACATGGTTTCCAGCACTGTGTAGCAGACATACATGGGGTCGAAGTAGCTGTAATTAGAAAATCAATCTCACGTTTAGGAAATACGCTGAAGCATGTGGATATTCTGATTGGTCCCAGAAGCACAATAAAAGCAAACCAACTGCTCTCAAAGTAAGAATGATTATGAAAACACAAATTTTGAAATAATGAACACAAAGGTTGGTACTGTAAATATTTATTTCTAGAGAAACAATTATGGCAAACTCATTTCAAATTTCAGGGGAAGGGGGATTGGTGGATGGACCATACCATTCATTTTGCTATGTTAAAATGGGAATTTCTATATAAGGCTATCTCTAGGAGACAAGAAACCCTCCCTGCTGCCACCCCCATGGTGGGCAGGGTCTGTCCCTCCATCTTTGGACTGGTTTTCAGATGTGGCAAGGAGCTAACAAAGAATTCCTGCAGATTTTGTCTTCTATTCATAATTTTCAGAATCTGAAATAAGGGAGTGAGCCAAAGCTAAGTATTACATGGACTTCAGCTGTGACTGGGATGTTAAGGTCATTTCACAATTGGCTGCAAAGTGCACTTTTGGCTGGCAGAAAAAATGTAAAGCAATTTTCAGAGTTTTCTTTGTATGTCTAATATTGGTTTGCTTCCCTGTCATATAAATTACTCCGAGCAGTGCAGTAGGTACGAGCCAGGAGGGCATGGAGTGTGGGCACCACAGTGAGGATCTGTGAGCCTAGCCTCCGAGGAAACCAGGTGAAATGCATTCTGACCTTTCCAGCTTGTTGGTGTCATTGTTTTCCACAATGGCGCGATTGTCCTCAGCCTGCTTGGCTGGCAAAAGGGCCTTTGAGGTGCCCAGAAAACCCCCACATAAATGAGCAGCTAGAGAGGTGGGTGCAAAGCCGGCTTTGTGCCTCATGGGGCCCTTGGGGCACGCTCCCCGCTGGCCTGGGAGGCACGCCTCTAGGTCATGTACAGACTCTGTTTTGACTGAAAGCACTCTTGTTGGCAGAGTGATTTCAGAGGCACCTATGGGAGTCTCCCTCCTTTTGAAAACAAACAACCTCCCACCTGCTCTCCTTACCTGCTCCCCAGGGGCCTGGAATCCCTCACTGTCTCAGAGAACCCTTCATTCCTTAGTGAGAGCTGATGGTTAGAATGCAGATCTAGGTGGAGGAGATAGTCTATGGTATTCTATATTCTACCATTTATTGAGTCCTTACCATATACAAAACACTGTACCAAGAGACTGACCTCCATGGATGTGAGTCTCATTTTTTTTTTTAGTTGAGGAATGGAGGCTCAGAAGTATACATTTGCACAAGGTGATCAAGTATGTCGTAGAACCAGCCTTTGAATCCAGATTCTTCAGACTCCAAAGCCTCTGACTCACAGGGCCCGTTACTGTCTCCCTGTAACTGAGAGCACCAAGAGGAGGCCCTGCCTAGAAGGATAAGGAGCGCTGGGCTGTAACTCCTCCTGGGAGGGAGGGAGCGGCTAAGCCAGGCGGGTTAAGCCAGCTTTGGGTCTCCCAAGGTATGCTGAACGCAGGCCCACAAACAATGACGTCTGGAGCCCTAGCCTTGACCTCCGAGCATGAGGCAGAGGCCTTCTGCTCCATGGGGCAACCTACCAAGGAGTGTCATTCAGGATGGAGCCCCTTCTGGGAGTAGGGGGACGGGGGTGTGTGCCTGACCCTGCCTGCACTAGGGCTGTCATGGTGCAGCTCCTTTGAGTGCGCAGTGTGTATAGGAAGTTCCTCTGCATTGCTGACCATGTCACCAGCTAGAGTGTCAGCTTGTGAGCCTGAATTAGGTTGAAGCACCTCAACTAGCCATGTCAGGGCTGAGGGCAGCGTGGAGAGCGAGGCCTCAGAGGGGTCTCTGGGTGCTGTGCTGATGTGACACGGCTAAGATTTTCCACTGCCTGTCAGAAGAAGTTCATCTTGCAGTCGAGGTGCCAGGGAACTCCAGCTGGAGAAGGCCGTCAGAGTAAGGTCACCCAGACCAGACTCTTTCGGGATATGGCTTCAAACTCTCTCACCTTCACAGTCTGGTCTGGAGCTCTCTCCCATGTGCTTCTACAGAAACCTCAACCATTGCATTTTTAACACTATTGCATTGTCTGTTTACTTATAGATTGCAGGCTCCTTGAGGACACGCACCAGTTCTGCTGGTCGCAGCATTCATTCCCAGTGTCTTTTGTGGCACCTGAGCCTGAGGAGATGTTCCTAGCTAATCTGGAACCCAGAGAACACCCTTGGCCCCATTCCAGGAATGAGGAGAACTTCATGGGAAGTGGGGAAGAGAAGTGGGCAAGCAAGTCTCCTGATCGTTTGGGCTGCGAATGAGAACTGTGTGTAAACTGGAGCAGAAGGAGCTGTCTACTGCTGGGTGTGCCTGGCTGCAGCCAGGGTGAGCGGGGCCGGTTAGAGGGGACTTTTTCAGGAAAGGGAATAGCGGCCTTGCTCTGGGACAAATCCTGTATTGCTTTTTTCTCAAATAATTGTAATCTGGTAGCATGAAGGCTGTACCTTTTGTTTCCCTTTTACCTTGTATGTGAAATGAAACATTTAAAATGAACCCCCTGAAAATTTAGAAGGCAAATAAAGCAATCCTGCTAATTTAATGAAGATGAAGCTGTGAATGTGGCTTTTATGGAGTGTCAGCCACTCACTGAGGAGCCCAGCAGGGAAAGAGATGGAGGGGAAGGGTGGGCTGTGCCTCAGCCGAGAGGCCAGAACTTTCTGTAGTGTGCTGTGGCACGTAGGGGGGCTGTGCTGCTCAGGAGTGACCCAGAGACCTCAGCCGGTGAGTTTCCCCTCACCCTTGCCTTGTTTTCTTTCCCCAGGATGAGACCAGAGGAATGCCATGGCTGTCAGGAACACTCAGTCCTCTGGTCCCTCTGTGCCATGGGGTCCCTACTGAAGACACACTCCTGTGCGGTGCCCTCTGTGGTATGCAGCCTATCTGCAAAGCTAGTCAGAATGCAATGGAGGGAGGGCCCGTCTGTCCTCCCGGGCGTCCTTTGAGTAATCCCCTTGTCATAGGCACCTCGGAAGGCTGCTCACCCTGACAGAGGGGATGTGATGGGCAGCCTGTCAAATAGATTGTGAGTGCATTAGCAGGATTAGCAGTGAAGGCGAATATTGCACTGTTTTCAGAGTTCATTCACAGCCTCTGAGACCGGCTGCTCAGCTGCCAAATTGGGCAGGCGCAGGCTGCAGAATTAATGTCACATCTGGGACTGGCCCCGAAGTGGTCAGAGGCACAACAGTCCCATTGTGTTTGACTTGTGTTTATGTATTTTTATTCCACAACAGAGCTTAATTTATAATATTAGTACAAAGATGCGGTCTAAGGGTTCTTTTCCATCTTATTGATAAACTAGCTGAAACACTTTAGCAGCCCCTGAAAGCCAGATGCTCTGCTCCTGGCATGTTTTGGAGTATTACTGGTTTTATTTCTGCTTGTTAAAGTAATATACCCTCGTTTTGGAAATATTGGATCAGAAAAATATAAGGGAGAAATTTAAAATAATCCTTTTACCAGATATTACCTCTGATGGCATTTTGATGTATTTTCATGCAGCCTTTCTTCTGTGCATACACATTAGACAAAGTTATGATTGTATTTGATTCTGTTTCCTTTTTTAAAAAAACAAATGTCATAAACATTTTCCAACTTTCTTGCACCTTTAAGGAAAACATCTTTGAAATATTTTGTGTTTGTATATTTGCATTAGTTTTTTATTGATGTTTAACAAATTACTATAAACCTGGCAACTTAAAACAATGCCCATTTGTTAGCTCACAGTTCCGTGGGTCAGAAGTCTTACCCAGCTTCTGGGGTGGTTGGGGGCAGGTCTCTGCTCAGGACTCACAAGGCCAAAATCAAAGTGTCAGCTGGGGTAAGTTCTTCTCGGGGCTCTGGGAAGAATCACATCCAAGCGCATTCTTGTTGGCAGAATTCGGTTTTTCAAGATCATAAGGCTGAGGTCCTCATGTCCTTGCTGGGGACTGCTCTTAGGAGCTGGAGGCTGCCCATCTTCCTTGACACGTGACCCCCTTGATCTGCAAGCCAACCTTGGTGCATTGAATCCTTATTGCAGCGGTTCTCAACCTTCCTAATGCCGTGACCCCTTAATACAGTTCCTCATATTGTGGTGACCCCCAACCATAAAATTATTTTCGTTGCTAC